GATTGAGGTTAGCAGAACAAGTTACAGGTCAAACGTGGAGAAATTCGATTGCTTCACTTCTTCTATCTAAAGTTTGCGCTAACGATGATGTTGTTCAGAAGAAGAACATTGAAAGCTCCACAACCAAAACAACCAACACAGAGAACGAAACACCACCACAATAAAACCTCTTTCATTGTCATGGTTCAGGTCATTATCCAACCTACCTTGCTGTCCTCGGCTTTCCTTTCTAGTTCTGTCCAATTGTTATTCATTCTTCTCATGTCGGTCTCCCGTTTTCGACGTAACGTGTTCCTTGGTCTTCCTCTTTTCTTTAAACTTTGAGGATTTCAAGTGAGAGTTTGTCTAGTGACGCAGTTGGGTGCTTTCTACAGTGTATGTCCTAGTCACCTTCAGCTCTTCTTCCTGACTTCTTCCCCCACTGGAATCTGGTTTGTTCTCTCCCACAGTAGGTTATTGTTGATAGTGTCTGGCCAACGAATCCGAAGTACATATCTGAATCAGATTGATGCCAATCACACACTGCTGGATGACTTTTCAACTTGTTCTATCATAGCTAAAGAATGAATCATCATCATGATTATTATTATTGCTATTATCGATTTCTTTTAGATCAAACAACCAATGAACCGATTACTGACGAGACATTAACCAATCTTGACATTAATTATGGCTTTGAAATGATTCGTCTAAATGGATTACCAGCATCTACATTGGAATTAGCTAAAACGATTAATTTCAATTCAGAAACTGGTGAATTACAGTTGAATGAATTACAAACTCAATGGAATTCGCATAAAGATGTGAGAAATCGTATACAAGCACGTTGTATCGCTGTTATTAACTATCCGCAAACGGATCAATATCCTCATCAAGGTGTACAACGTTATGCTAGTCCGTATTTCCTAGTGAATGTACCAAAAGATATTGAAGCTATACCGGATTACGTAGATGGTAAGTGAAATTTTAATTTTCGTAAATAAAATACTAAAATTTGTATACTGTTGGTCCTTGATAACCGTGACTAGATAACACTCACAGAGTGTGTAATACAAGTCAGAAGACAAATCTGAAGTAGGTGTATGGATGACGTATATGTTGGGGATGTAAGATCCCCAAGAACTCGCTTCATAAATGCCTTAATTTTGGATTTCACGTTTGAGAGGAGCATGGGCTGGTCAGTTAACCTTGGGATCACACATTTCCCACCAGTAAAATCCATGGCTGTGATTGGCTGCTGTGTATTTTAGTGTGCTATTTTTGTGACTGTCCCAAGGACGTTTCTATGATGTGTAAATAAACGAGAGTTGTGTGCTTGATTGCATGGTGCTTGTTGGGTGTTTGTAGAACATAATTTCTACGCTTGGGATTCAAGGTAGCCTATCTGGACGCTGGTTGACTGTCTCGTTCGCGTTTTATCGACTAAGGTGAACTCGTAATAGCTTCAAGCGTACCTAATGATGAACCCTACAGTTTATATTAGCACAACACCGATCATTAAAACCACCGGCATACTGAAAAAAAGGGACACGGTATGTGTATGTGAAGTAGCGAACGAATAGGATTAAAATGTTTAGATGTTATACGGGAAAATGAATGAGTAACCGAGCTATTTAGGCGACTATCGTTAAAGTTAGTAGAATGAATACGTGAGTAGACTGTAAGCAATGCTCAAATATACATGCTCATACAAACGTGACAGTAATGAAAGTAAAAAATTTATAAACGAGTTACTGTTGTTCAAATGATTCTACCTACCTGTTAGATAAGTTAATCAAAGAGTTTCACTAAATTAAACGTAAATAAACTCAAATGTATGTGTGAAGTACCATGAGTTTTTGGTGAAGAAAAAGAATTCAACTTTCACTCAGTCAAAAATCTAAACTTCACTCAATCTACTTTGCTCCATTTGAGAGTAGTCAGTGTATGAGGTTGTGAAAGACTGTGAATTGATCGAAGTTAGACACAAACAGCATCCCACACCTGCTCACTGGTCCAGAGGTTAGGCGTTCGCCAGCACGATACCGAAGGTCCTGGGTTCGAATCCTACGACGTGCAGGAGTCGAGGATGCGCGCAGCTGATGATTCCCGTACCAGCACGAAGTGGCCGTCCAGTGCTTCCAAGCTTCTAATGCTGGTCTAACATTAATAGTATTAAAATCACGAATGAATCATCGTCAGACCATCATTAAGAACCTGGAAGCTCCTGGCATGGGACTCATCAGTGGCAGTGAGCATCCACAACTACTACCACCCACAGGATTGGAACTCAGGATCTCATATCTCGCGCACGAACGCTTAACCTCTGAACCGCTGAGCTGGAGGCATCCAACGGTGTTACTGCCTACCATCGATCAGTCTAAGGATTTTGCTCGACCTCACCCAGACAGACAGACAGATACAATGTAGAACTTCTTACATAAGCACATAAGTTCAGGTTGTCTTACCACGTCAGCACAGAGACGTAACTGTCAGTTCAAATCTAAGAGTGATAGTGATAATAGAATTATTAGCAACAATGGAGAAGATTAGGGAGCAAAGATATGATTCGAGAAGTATAATTCAGTAAAATAAATTTAGAAGGAGGAAGGTAGAGATTATGAGGAATTCAGAAGGTCAGAATTAAAAAGCAAACGAAGAGTGGATGCATCTGCACCATTGCAAACAGTTCTGAGCCATGTCGTTCAAGGTCTCTAACCAATGGTGACTTTCGTCTCGCAGACCCCAATCACATACCCTACATCTTCCAAACATGATTCAGTCCAGTTGTCATTGACTTTATGGATTTTTGTCATGTTTTGGCTTGACCGTCCCTAGCTTTCTTCTAACTTATTCCTACACTACAAAACAAAGCTCATCGAGGGAGTCGGTGGTTAGGCATACGCAGCACATGTCCCAACCACCTCAACTGATGAAGTTTCTCTACTTCTTCTTTTGATTTGCTATCCTTACCTAGCACGCATTTCCTAACGACAGCATTGCTTACTCGGCTGTTCCATGATACACGAGAAATGCTTCAGAGACACCTATGGTTGTAAACCAGTAGTTTACGAATGTTCTCTACTCTTAATGGTCATATTTCGCATCCGTATAGTAGGGCGGAGCGGACTGCTGTACAGAGCACTCGTCCTTTGGTTAGCAAGCGGATATCTCGCCTACGTAATAAGTGACGCAGGTTGGCAAAAGCCAATCGAGCCTTCTGTATCCGTGCTGAGATTTCGTCAGTCACCAGGCCATCATCACTGATGAGACTCCCCAGATAAGTGAAGTGGCCGACACTCCCTACTCCCTCACTCCCTATCATTAGTTCAGGTGCCGATGCAACCCATTCCTGAAGCAACATTTTGCATTTCGAGGGCGGGAACCGCATCCCGAACATGCTTGCATTGTTGCCTAGGGTAGTCAGAACACTCTGCATTTTGTCAGCGTCTTCACCAAGTAGAACTATGTCATCGGCATATTCTACTAAGTCAGTAAGTGATTTTCCCCTTTTAAATAATGTAAAACTTTATTATTTTATCATTAAATATCTTTGATATATTGTGCTTATATACTCTCGGTTCATCTCTTTATTTCTTTATCTAATATTTCCAGTATCACGTTCACGATATGAAGTAACTGTTGGTGGTTTAAACAATCAAGGCGTGTTAAAAGTACAACCTGGAAAGAATATTCAACTCAAGTGTATTATTCGAGGTAAGTATATTGATGATTACCCGGCGTGCGCGACCACGCCGGGAATCGAACCCAGGACCTTAGATTTGTGGAACGCTGATGTTTATCCTCCAGACCATTGTTGAGTCGATATCTAATTTTTTTTTTGAAACCATGAATCGATCAATGTTAGACCACCATAATAAATCTGGGAGCACTGAAAGACGGCCGTCTCGTCCTGGTATGGGACTCATCAGCAGTGCAGATCCACGAATCCTGCACTTCGCAGGATTCGAACCCGGGACCTTCGGTCTTGTGCTCGAACGCCTAACCATTGGACCACTGGGCCGGCATCCAACGGTGTTAATGTCTAACTCTGATTGATCTAGGGGTTTTGCGTGACCTCACCCTTGATTGTCTTTGGTAGTTAGTGCCTACACACATTTGAAATTATGAATCAAGCATTGTTAGACCAGCATTAGAAGAAACCTGGAAGCACTGAAAGATGGCCGTTTCGCCCTGGAATGGGACTTGGTCTGCACTAATCTTTTGCATTCATAACAAGCACGTACACATACACACACACACAAGTAACTAGCTTCAAGATGAATTTCTAGAGTTCTAATGAAAAACAGTGGCTAGTAGAGTTGAACTGTATCAGGAGTGTGGCAGTTACCTACTGAAAACAATGGATGATTGATTGAAGTCTGATACTAACAGCATTGAATGCTGAGTCAGTAGTCTATAGGGTAAGTGTCGGTATGGGAGACTGAAAGTTTTGAGTTGGATTCCTGCTTTCATGGTCATGAATACGCACTGATCCTGAGCATTCTCATACTAGGATGAAACGGCCATCCAGTAATGGTAGTCTAGTTAAGATCAGTTTTCAACTTCAACACAAATACCCTTCATTAAGAACAATAATTATTGACTGTGGAATGCTTTAAATCAACAAAGCTTAGGATCAACTTTGTCTGTGTTTAACTTTAAATAAAACTACAGTATTGCAGCTCAAAAACAAGGATCGTTCATGCAGAAACTGCAACAGGAATTCCTTACATCAATTTCACTGAATTCTAGCTTAATGAAGGATATTTGTTGCTCACAAAGAATATTGAAGTTGTTGTGATTGTTGAGCTAGCTAGAAAGATTAATTAGGAATCTTTGATTGTTCTTGTGAACAATATCACTAGTACATAATTCAAAGACATATGAACTATTTTTGAATTATTTCCACAGTTGTTGATTTGAAATTGATCTGGTTGTTATCTGTAAGTGTGAACTGTTATTCATGAGGCAAGGGTGCGGTATTTAACGCTTCATTGTTTCAATCACTGAGTAATCGAACTTACTTACTTACTGATTTACTTACACCAGTTATCCCTAGTGGAGCACAAGCCGCCAAACAGCATTCTCCGACCTACTCTGAAGTAGAAAGGAAGACCTTAGACAGAGTAGGTTCGAGAATGCTGGTCGAGGGCCTATGCTCCACTCGGGATAACAGGCGTAAGTAATTAAGTAAGTGTTAGGATATTCATCGAATATCCTAAGAGAATTATTAGTCAATTCCTATTGGTTTATTCCTACTGGTCAATTTTATGGTCGTCCTAGATATCAGTGCCACGTGCTCCAATGTTCTTTCTTATTGATTGTCCTGACTATCAATGGCACTTCAAATGTTGCTTCCCATTGGTCGTCCCAACTGTCAATGTCACAGAATTCGATGCTGTTTCCTATTCGACCAAAATGTATAAATACGCATTATCTGTAACGTTTTATGACCAGGACCCGGTCCCGGATCCCTAGTTCGGGATCCTGATTCTCTTCTGAACTCGGACCTCGTACTTTCTGGATGCTTGTAGAATACAGGTTCTACTTCATATCATGTCTTCTTACTTTGACTCAATTGGGGGGTTAGGACAATCGGATTGAGTAGCATGTCGTGTCGCCGGATCCTCGATTCTCGCTCTCGCGTTTCCGACTAGGTAAACTCGTAATAGTTCAAGTATATCAAGTTGACGTGTTTATAGGTAGGTTTGACTACTCAGTAAATTATTCAATAAATTTATTCACATTTTCACTCACCAAAACATGAATCTTTTAACAGATAAAGAAACAGATACATTGATGGATACTTTAACACAGAATCAATTTATTGGATGGCAATTTCCTGTATTACCCAGTGGTTATCAAGTAAATATGGGAGATTTTGCTACAAATTCTAAAATACAATCCGATGAATTGCATTTAGAAGGTATACGTAATGATTATCCAGAAAATTTACAAGGTCGTTGTTGGTT